GGATGCCGCGACCAGGACCCAGCGGGGGCGGTTGAGACCCAGGCTGGCCGGCCAGGACCCAGGCTGACCTGGGGAGCAAACGGGCGCGCAGAGCAGGGTTCAGGCACTGCGCGCCCGTGTGCCGCCCTTACCACCCTCCCGCTTCCCGCGGGTTCATTAGGGCAGGGCCTGCCCCTTTACTTCTCATCCCCCACCCCCTGCCAGTTAGCCCATTGCTTTGTGTCACTTATGTGTCTGAGTCATTGTCTCTCCAGGGCAGGGGCCGCGATTTTGACATTTCTTGTCCCCATCTAGCGTCCTTCTCGGGTTGGGGATATTCTAGGTCCTTTGCCTATGATAATAACCAAACGGGGGGGGGGGTCCTCTGGGTTCCTGAGGGAGGGCATCTGTCTGGGGCTGAGCACTCAGGGATGGCTTCCTGACAGAGGTGACACCTAAGGAGACTTAAGGGAGAGAGACGTGGGCAGGCGTGTCATGGCCAGCAACCGTGTTCAGCCACCTTTGGGGTTGAAGTGAGGCTGGGTGGGCATGAGGCTGAGTGGTCAGAAGGGCCTTCGCCTACAGCACTCCCGCAGCACACCAGGATGGAGCTCAGCCGAGGAGGGGAGCATTCAGCCTGCTCCGAGGCAGAACTGCTGCTGGAGCTGGGCCTTGGGGAGTAAGAGCTTGGGGGACAGAGCACAGAACTTCCCAGCAGCAGCCGGCGTGTGCAAAGATTCCAGCCACAAGGAACAAGCCAAGTGCTGGGCGGGGCTCAGTCGGTACTTCAGAGTGTGCCACGCAGGCTGACAGTGGCAAGGCCCCAGGCCCCTCTCTAGAGATGCGTGCTCCCTGAGCTCCCTGGAGTCCACACTGAGTTCCTTGAGCACTTCAGGTGCAGCCAGAGAGGAAGCTCCAGCACTGTTGGAATGGCTCCAGGAGGCCCCAGGGCCTGGCTGTGAGGACACTGGTGTGCACACTGTGCCCAGGAGGTTCAGTCTGGGCCTCATGCTCAGAGAGTGCATGCACAGTTTTGGATGGTGATGTAAGTAGGGAGGTCACAGAAGGTTGAAAAGCAGATGGCCCCTCAGTGGCGCCTGCCTGGGTCAATGTCGGCCTCTCCCTGAGGTAGGGTGCTTTGGACAAAAAAGCATGCGTGTTTCCCACACACCTATTCAGACTAATCTGCAAGGACATTTTTTAAGTTAAAAACAATGACAGCTCTATGTATCATTTGTCACCATTGACAGAAAGACAGTGAAGGCTTTGGTAGCAGCACCCCCTTGTGTGCAGGCCGAGCTAGCAGGAGGGGTTCACAGGAAGAAGTGTCATGCTGATGGCCCCGGGGCGGGACTGGTACCTGAATCTTGTCTGGTGTGGTCATGAGCTCCATATAGCGTCCTTCTCACGTGGAGTTCCTTTTATTTCACCAATGAGTCACAGCTCTTTGTTGCCATAGGTGGCTCCAAACAGGACATTCGTGAACGAATTTGGGACTACATGGAGTCAGAAAATGTAGCTGACTTTCCCCGGCCTGTTCATCACAGGATCCCCAACTTTAAGGTACGGAGGCATTTCTGCAGTGTTGAAGGACAGCTCCCTCTGCCTCCTGGTGGATCTGAACTTGGGCACTGTGAGCAGCGGGTGAGACCAGACTGGCTGGCCGCCGAGACCCCGCTGCTCCTGTTACCACCTTTGTGTGCTGCGGGGTCTGGCTGTGGCCTTCTGGTGGTGGCTCCCAGGACGGTGGCTGTGGAAGCCTTTATCCCAGCTGGCGGCTCTAGCCCTGTGCTGTGAACGCCCAGAGCAAGGCCCAGGCACAGCGCCCTGGGCAAACAGATGCCTCAGATGCCGCTGTGAAAACAGGAACCCGAGGTGTCTGCTCATAACAGAGTGCACAGAAGACAGGGCTGTGGAGGAGCCTTTGCTGTGTGTTTTCAAAAAAAAAAAAACCAAGGCAGTGCTTTCTGAAAAGATACCGGTGGCCCTGACAGGCCTGGAGGGGCCAGCGTCCCTGGCCAGCACCCTCGACTGGGCTGCTGTCCCACGCTGGGCAGCTAGCCCGCCCTGGTCCTTGGTTGAGCTGGCTCCACGCTGCCCCGTCTCCCTGAGAAACTCTCCTTTGTGTGGTTCTTGACACACAAAGGAGAGCCTAGTCTCAGTGCTTGGTAGCGCAGGAGAAGCAGCTCGAAGCTGGGGGCAGGAGGGGGGGGAGCAGAATCATTCAGAGATCTTTAAAGAGGATCACCTGGGAGGGGGACTTCCGCTTCCCCCATTCCATGATTCAGGTGGAGGTGACCCCTGAACCTGTGCGAATCCGCCAAACTCTCCACTTGGGGAACGTGCGTTTTATTTCAGTGAAGACCAAGTTCCTGGTTTAGTCCACTGACCCTGCCCTCTTTCCCAGATGTTTCCCGTGATCCTTAGCGTCTGTCTTAAAGTTGGCTCACCCTTCAGGGCACGCGTCTAGATCCCGGTGACTCAGGAGTCTGAGGTGGGAAGATTCCAAGTTCAAGGCCAATCCCAGCAACTTAGTGAGATGCTGGGTCAAAAGATAAAAGCTGGAGCTCAGTGGTGGAGCGCCCCTGGGCTCACCCCACAGTACCAAAAAGAAAAAGGAAAGCTGACCCTGCCGTCCAGGTGGGGGCTGACCAAGCCCCTCGGGATCCCTGTCCTCTTGGTAACGCAGGATTACATTTAAACAGGGCGCGAATCGTGCCGCGGAGCACTTCCCGCGTTTGCAGGTGTTCAGAACAGCCAGGACCATCAAAGTGAATCCCGACGCTCCCCAGAAGAATGCGCGCTTCCTGGTCCTGGATGTAAGTGCTGCTCTCTGTCCGCCTAATAGGGGTCTCACCGGGCTTGCCAGAACCTCAAAGACCTAGAAGTTTTTGCCAGGACGCAGGAAGTGAAAGTGGACCCTGACAAACCTCTAGAAGGCGTTCGGCTGCTGGCACTGCAGGTAACCTGCTTCCCCAGATGCCACCTGGCCCCGAGGGCCCTCTCTCCAGCGGCTGGCAAGTGACGATGCTTGTGACTCCCAGTGCAGAGGGCTCTCAGAGCAGGTTTCTCCAGCACAGTCCAGAAGCGCCTCCCTGGTCAGCCGGTGTCAGCCAGCCCTGGACCGTCCAAGCTCAGAGACAAGGGGGTCAAATGAGAGCCCTGGGCTTTGTCATCAGGACAGGCTCACCTGTGGCCACTTCTTTTTGCTGCTTTTGTAGTGTTGTCATTGTTTGAAACGTGACAGCTCATTTTTAAGAAATTTCATGAATGTGTTCCAGGATGCAGAGTGCAGTACTCCTTCTCAAGTGCACGGGCCCCTTGCAAAGGGTTGATTTAAATTAATTTATTATAACCTGACTTAAATGCACAAATATAGAACTTGGTATGAATTTGATACTTACAACTCTTAAGCTGCTATAAAACCCAAATAAGTACGTAAATGAACCCCAGGTGAAGCTGAGGGGCAGCGACGTCCAAGGACCCTGTTCATTTTAACGTTTGGCTGAAACGAGTTGTTGCTGGCGATTGACCCTGGGGCTCCCGCCACTGCGGGGTCTCTGGAAGTCTGCCTCGGGCTGCAGCACGTCGTGGGTGGCTCAGTTCTCCCTTCTCTCCTCAAGTCCAGTGACTCCAGGGCCCTTCCCCGCCAGGTGGTGAAGTGAAGACCAGAGGTGGCTTTGCCAGAGAAGGAGGGCCACGTGGGGGTGCTGCTCTGGTTTTTTAAATTAGCCCAAGGGGGAGAGGGTCTTGTTGCTCGTGGTTCAGCCGCAGACAGGCCCCCCGAGGACCTTCCAGAGGCAGAGCTCGTGGCCAGCAGTGCTTTCCCACGCGAGTCCCTCTTGGGAACTGGAAGTCACACCTGCCAAGCCTGAGGGGCAGCCTGGGTGGTTGTGCTGCGAGGCCCGGTCCCCGACGCCTTCTCTGTGGCGCTCCCTTCAGTTATCCAGATCTCTGGGAGCCGTGTTCCTGCCCATGTGACAACAGAGGGCCCCAGACACGGAGAGGGAGTGTCGAGTCGTGGCAGAGCCAAGTCTGACCCGGAGCCGGCCCTCCTGTGTGAGGTGCAGGGCGTTCTGTCAGCCTCAGAGCAGAGGCCAGTGTCCTGGCCTGTGGGGTCAGACTTAGCCCAGTCCTGGGAGAGCCCAGGAGAGGAGTGCTGCTGGGTGCCATGGTGGACTCCTGAGCTGTCGAGCCTCCGCTGGGCACTGGGAAGTGGTGGCAAAAAAGACATACACACACACACACACACACACAGTCCCTGGGCCCCACCAGAGTGGCTCAGTCCCCCTTCCTGATCAGGACTCTGGGTAGGAGTGCTTCCTGCAGGCAGCTGGGGACCACTGGCGAGGGCAGCCTCTGCCTCCCCTGGCTGGCCTTGCCAGGTGCTGGTGCCGGCCCAGGAGCCGGCTGCAGACCTCGGTAACTCTCAGAGCTTGGCAGGTGATGCTGCTGCACAGCTGGGGCGGAGACCGCGGAGCTCTGGGTGCACCGCTCCTGGGAAGGAGGGAACTGTCCAGGACACGTGTGGCGCCCCAGACTTGGACCCTACCATGCAGAGAAGCAGCCTGCGGCAGTGACAGCAGCGTGTGCTGAGGGCCTGTGCGTGGCTGAGAATCTTTCTTTAAGCCACACTGATTTCATAAGTCTTAGTGGTCTTGGGTTGGTCTGCCGAAAAACCAGAATGCACTATTGACATGAGGGCCTTTTACAAACGCTGTTGTCTGCTTCATGGGCTGCCCTCACATAATCTGTAGAGACTGGCCAGTGGTTTCCAAGCTCTCAGGTGTACTAGAAGCATCCAGAAGCCTCTTAAAGCCCAGATAGCTGCCCTGCCCCCCCACATACCCAGAGCATCTGATTCATTTGTAACAGGTGCCAGGAGCTGCTGACCCCTGCTGCTGCCCAGGCCCTCTGAGACCCCTGTTCTAGGCCACACCGTAGGTAGAAGAAAGCGGGTGTCACACATGGTCATACAAAATCTTGACTTGGTCTTGGATGTGGCTTGTTGAACAAGGCAGATAAAAACATGTGATGGAATACCACTGATTTTGCTGTGCTGAATCCATTGCAGATTAGCGCATCGTAACTGCATAGTGCAGAGGACAGAGGTACAGGGAAACTGACTGGAATCTTTATGAGAACATATAGATTTTTTCTATTTCTTAGTTGTAAATGGACCCGATACCTTTGTCTTTATTTATTCATTTTTTCATGTGGTGCTGAGACTCAAACCCAGTGCCTCACCCATGCTAGGCAATGCTCTTCCACTGAGCCCAGCCCCAGCCCTCCCAACAGATCTCCATGTAGATTTTCAAGTGGCAGGTACAGCAGAGAGCAGGTCTGTGGAAGGTACACGGCAAGCAGCTGAAGGACAATGACCAGCACACGCCATGTCATTGGGCTTGCAAACAAGGGAGTTCCTTGGCACACACCAAAATACGAAAATACTAGTCATCGTCTTCCCTTCCTGACGCAGTGCAAACATGAAGAAAGTCCCATGTAAAAACTTAATTGTGTAATTCATTGATTATCTTTTTTCCTCAAAAGAGCAAAAAAACCTTGCTGGTTCCAACGCCCCGGCTGAGAACAGGACTGTTTAACAGGATCACGCCTCCTCCTGGAGCCAGCAAAGACATGTTGAGGAGATGTGCCACCTCCCAGGTGAGTGCTCCAGCTGGGCGCGCTCCGGGAAGATCTGAAGACACTGTGAGTCGCCACCTGGACAGAAGGTAGAGCGTCCACGGTTCTGCCGCCAGGAAGCCAAGTGGACGAACCCTGAAGAAATGGGTTCCGCTCCTGCGACTCGGTTTCTGTTTTGCACCAAGTCGGCGGTTCATAGATTATTGTTTAAAAAGGTGAAGGTGAAGCCAGTTCCCCGGGCTCTGGCGCCCTCTAGCGCTGGCTGAGGTGGCCCTTGGGTGTCATTTTGGTCTGTACTTCTATCGCCACCAGAACAGGGCGGGGGGGAGGATGGATTTCCAGGATGTGCTAATTGGAAATTGCCTCACCAGTTCAGAATAATGGCGAACAGCTTATGCATTAGATTTCCTTGAATGCCTCATTCTAGTAAAACCAAAGTGTGTGAACATTATAGTGAGGTACAGCGTGATAAAATTCATTTTGAATTTTATAGTTAAATAAACTTTGGTGGTTTTTTAAAGAATTCTAAAGTAAATACCAGGTCATCAGATTCCTAATCTGAGAATAACAAATGAGTAATTTAAAATTCTCTTTTTTCAGGGATTTGCCCCTTAAGTCTGATGTATAGATTGAATGATGTATTATCTATTGATATTCCAAAAATAGAATTTGCTGTGGCTTACAGAAACAAACACAATAAGGCAGATACACATGCACACATACATGTGCATAAATAGCAAATAAGACTCAGCCATGGTTCTGGGCAGTGTCCCTGCTGTGAGCCTCCCATCCCTGGAGCTGGGGGCCTGCCCCACACTGACGGCCTGCCAGGTGCTGTTCCACGTGGGCATGGTGAGGACCAGTCCCTAGACGTCCTGGTGGTCAGGTGTGAGCGCCGTGACTATGTGGCTTCACCTGCAGGCCTCCATTTCTTAGGAGAAGCGGATGAACTCGTAGTGCGTTTGGGTTGAAGCAGTACTGGGAAGTGAGTGCGCTTTTCGTAAAGATAAGGGCTTCCCGCACTGTACCTTGAATGGGTGGGCTGGACAGTGATGTGCTGGACACTCAGCCTCCGTTGTCTTTCTCG